CCTCCGCTCCCACTGGCCCGAGCGCGCGCACCCCGCCCCCCACCCCCCGCCTCGCCGCGCGCCCCCCGCGCGCCCCCCGGCCTCTCCGCCCGCCCGCGGCGCCCGCGCCGGTCCGGGCCCGCGCTGGCCCGCGGGGCCGACCCGCGCGCGCGCACCGGGGCCCGACCGCTCCTCCCCCCCACGCCGCCGGCACCCGCCGCCCGCCTCGCCGTCACGCACTGCGCCCTGCACGCCGGCGCTCGCGCCCCTCCGGGAAGGATGGCAGGAACACCCTGGGACATAGGCTGTTGTTAGAGGTAAATCCCACAAAGCTGGCATTGAACGAACCATACAAACTGCTTTAAGCCTGGATGATCATTTTTCCAAAGGGCTCAAGGGGCTACAGGATTTGGTAGAGAATCTATGCAGGTTGAACCCTGTCAATTGTTTTTGATCTTCCCAAATGTCAGTGTCACATGGGTCAACCCACTGTGTTCAAGGAGCTCACAGTGAGGATGATGTCAGCCTCTCTCATCACCAAAGTTCTATTTATTTTAATGATTTGGAAAAAAATGGTTTTCTAAATTGAATTGGGTAGCTTGAAATGGTTAAAATGTCCCCTGAAAATGAGAACTTTATTCCTCCCTTCTTTTATATAGAATCAAATCTTTGTCTTCCACACCAGGCTGCCTCATATGTATACAGTAAAGTCATTTGATAACCTTGTTACATTGCAGATTCTGGGCCTCACTCCCAGAGAGTCTAACTCAGTGGGGTCTGAGATACAGCCCAGGAATCTGCATATTAACCCAGCACTCCACCCCACCTTCAGAGGATTCTGGCATAGGTACCCTGTGCAGCACACTTTGAGAAACACTTTGTATCCACAGGCAACAGTCACAAAAACTAACAACATCTGTAAAAACATTAACTGCAGGGCTGGCGGAATAGCTCAAGAGGTAGAGCACTTGCCTAGCAAGGATGAAGTCCGAGGTCAAACCCCAGTACCATCAAAAAGAAAAAAAATAAGAATATCAACTGCACCTGAGACCACCTGGGGTGGCACTGCACCCATTTCTGCTGACGAGTTCAGTGCCACAACCCTGTCACTCAGCAGGACTGGCCTCAATGAAATGAGATGGAAAAGCTGTCTCCACATTTACCAGCTGGCACCCAGCCACTCTACCCGCCTTGCTGGGAGCAGACTTACTTCTGCAGGTCTGATTGAGGGCTGATCCAAAGTGACCTGGTTTGCAGAGCTGGCAGGTTGGGCCCCCAGTGTTGTGCAGACATTTAAGGCACTCCCCTGTTACCATGCTGCAGGACTCAGGATCAGTTACATCTATGTTGTTATTGCAGGCACATGGCCGGCAAGGCTCTCCAGAAACTCTTGGATTACCATAGAAACCAGGGGCACATTCTCCACACTGAATACCTGAAGAAAGGGGAGCAAAAGGGAATGGGATGAGGTGAGAGTGCTGGGGGGAAGAAGAACTGAGGCTGCAAATAGAGAATTACTGGGCTTCCCTGGAGATAATGGGAAGTCACACATTAGAATGAGTAAGGAAAAGTGCTAAGTTAACTAAACATTCACTTCTTATTTATTCAGAGAACTAAAAAGTTATTCAGAGTTAGAAGGTCTTTGGTGAAGTATGGAGTACAGTGTTTCTTCAAAACTAAGGAGTTGTGACATAAGATTTTTAGGTCTTTCTATATAACCAGAGGTAATATCCTGTGTCCTGGGACCCAAAGCTCATTTCAGCCCCTGTTGGCCCTGGGGAATCCCAACTTCCACTTAATCCTTGAGATCAACTATGGTTCAAATGCAGCAGTCTTGAAGGGAAAGTGCCACGCAGCAGCAGCTTGACAGATGTGTCTGGAGGGAAGATGGGCAAGAGCAGTTTTTGACAGATAAGCCCTTGCAGGGGTTTCCACTGAGTACTATGTAGAGATGCCATCTCTCTCCCCAGCACTCTTCACCCTCCGACCTCTAGGTAATGGCAGTTGCTTAGATGTTCAAACTTGGGGCCACTCTCCACTTTGGTTCATCCTCTTGGGAATGCTGTTAGCCCAAAGATGGTTTCAGTTCTTAAAAACTGACCAACCAAGTCAAAGTGTGCTTAGAGAAGAGGGAAGGAAGAGGTAAGAACTAACCAAAGCCATGTGTGTCCTCTTAGATGTAATGAACAAGAAAGGAGTCAGTCACATAATTTGTTATTATGCTGCTAGTTAACACTGAGGAAAATAATATTGACTTCATGAGTTTTTTTCTTGTTTACATTACACATTCACACTCATGCTTAAACTCTTTCAAAGACTAAAATTCTGATTGAGCAGCAGATACAAATTTTAAATCAAGACTTATTCAATGTTTGCATATTGCCCAAATCAGTGCTTCAAGACCTCAAAAAACTTAGCTCTGTTTGTGAAACTTCAGTCAAAATTGTTTATTTAGAATTATACAAAGAAGCCTGGTGGCTCAGGCCTATAATCCTAGTTACTCAGAAGGTAGAGGATCAAGGTTCGAAGCCAGCCCAGGAGGAAAAAAAAAGTGTTTGATTAAATTCTTTAATTTCTTATATAATATTTAATATAAATAGCATATGCCTGCTATTTAATCATATATGCATATTTTATTCAATACGTGGTAATTATGTCTTCAATAAATTAATTTGACTTGATCCCATTTGTCCAATTAGTTTTCTGAAACATTTAAAAACAACTATAACTCAGTAGCATGAGTTTTTAATCATCGTGGTTTTGAATCATGTAAGATCTTTGCTCAGTAAAGCAGCAATTTAGCTAATTGTGCCTTCTTACCATTAACTTTTGTTCTGTATCACTCATTTGTCCAAGGCAGACAAATTATGAACATGTGATCTTGTTAAGATTGCAGTGTGGGATGGAAGAAGGAAAATATAAACTATATTTCATACCTGCATAACCTTGAAGACAACTGCAGTTTATAGCTGAGCTCCAAGGATTCTGGTAACAGGAATGGGCAAAATACTGATTGCTGGAGGGAACATCTGGACACAGGCAAGGACGGCAGGACTGTCCTAGAGAAGGATTTCCATAGTAACCATCGATGCACCTGTCAAGGCAATTTCTTTTTACCAAAATGTTCCCAGGAAAAGCTCACGTGTTAGCCAATGTGGATTTGCTATGCTTTAGGACAATGCAACTCCCAAAACTCGTTATTTTAGAAGATGTGCATTTGCTCTGTAAAATATTGTTTTGTTTTGTATGGAAAGTCTCAAGGTATAGTCATAACACTCAATATAAATAGTCCTCTGTGATTTCCACGCTACATTTGAGGAACACAAAAGCAGTGTGTCATGCACATGTGCCACTGATTTAATCAGTTATTTTCTGGCTGGAAGGATGATTCTGAAGGACGATGAACAGTTACCTCCCCCACCCATAGCAGTCATTCTACACTTACACACTGTTGAGTCTTTAGTCAATGGTCCTCCATTATGAAATCAGAGCAAACATGTAAAGAATCTAAAAGTAAAGTGCATATGAATTCTGTACCTCTCACAGTTTCTTCCAGTTGTAAAGCCTCTGCAATATAGGCATGACCCTGTATCTGGATCACAAAGTTCAGCAAACCCATTACAAGAGCAAGGGTGGCAACTGGGAAACCCAAAGTAACCCGCCAGGCACTGGTCACAGCGGCGGCCTGCCACCTCTCCACGGCAGGCACACTGGCCAGTTACTTGGTCACATATGGTGTTCTTGGAGCCTTGAGGATGGCAGTGGCATGCTGGGTAAAGCAAAAAGAATGATGTTAGGATGGGGACAAATGGTGTGGGGGCAGAAGAATTACAGTTCTGATTCTGTATTCCCTGTCCCAACCCAAGCGAAAAGAGTGAGTTTATAATGTGCTCAGAACAAACCCTAACGTAACAAATACCAGATAATGTTTGTTAAATAATGATTCATGATTCATTCAATAAGCAGCAGGTTGTGAACACCTGAGCCTTATGAATATCTGCTGTTCACACAGAGAAACCGAACAAGCAACATGTTTTCAATGACTTAAACTTCCATATATTTTAGAAGTCAAAGTACAACTTTGAGGAGGTAAAACATGGAAGAACTCTTCTCAGGATAGTCAGATTTTTCTTTTTCCTATATGAGGTAGTAGAGGGCCAATCCTTTCACGATAAATTGCTGAATCCTGACCTTTCCTGTTCAAAATGTGATGCCTGTTTGCTTGGTAGGGTGGTATACAGAAGAAATAGTTGCTTCTTTGTATAGATCCCTTTGTGTATCTCAAGCACTTTGTAACTTAAAAAAAAAAAGGAAAAGTAAGAATGGACTGAGGTAAGCACTGTTTGCTAGGTAGGCAGTCAGGCCCAAGCAATGGCCAGGAAGGGGATCACCTCTTTGAATCATGAGTAAAAGGAGATTTAATCTGCCTGTAGGTTTCGTGGCTCCTAAGATATGTTTCTGTAGGCAATAATATTCTCACTAATGATTTACTTTGTGGACAGAGAACTGACTACCAGAATGTGACAAACATGACTGCTGAATTACCAACTACAGTTGAGTTACAGGTCTGTTTGTGACCTCAGGATCAGAAAGGGTAATATCCTCAGTGGGGAAAGTGTTACTTATGATGACAGTGTTGTCTCTTTCTTGAATTCCCAATTTCATAATTGTTCCAGCCACTGGACTTTCAGGCTAGATCATAAAGCTGGGTTTGCACAGCCAACTTCCTTCCTGGTGTTCCCATTTTTACCTGGATTACTTCCCATTTAATGCACACTGCAAACCCCCAGAATCATGGACTGCCTTTTGTTCATTCCTTACGGCTCCTGACAGAGTTCTGTACAGTCAGTGCCCATCGGTCAGTGGAAGAATGAAGGATGGTAGAAAAGTTTTCAGCACATTTAATCTACATAGAGTTTGAAGAACGTTGTTGAGTTTCCAATTCTCTCTCCTTTAAAACTTCCCACATCCCTCTCCATGCCTTTGAAATGCCAAGATTACCAGCGAGCACATTTCCTCTTGTTTTTTGCTACGTACAGTGACAGCCATGATGCCCCAAACCGTAGCTTCCAGCTGAGCACCTGTCACAGCAACGTCCGACCACGTAGGGTTTACACTGGCACTGGCCTCCAAGTCGGCTGCAGTTGGACCCGATCGCACCCTGGGGGTGACACTTGCAGGCTGCAGGGAACAAAGGAAGGGAGATGGAGGTGAAGGTGGGGGCTCACTGCTCCTTCATATGGTGCCTTTCTCATTCTCAACTGTCCCAACTGTTTAGTGGAGAAAATGCAGGATTGACCTTGTGGAATTGTTGTATTTATCAAAGGCAACACTAGCGATGTAGTACTTAAGCAGTGTTTGACATGTAGTGAGTGCTTAACAGATTAAAGGCTTAAAAGAAATTGTTTTAAATAATTGATCATCCTAATGTCATTGTTACTATTGGTATCATTATTACTTCAGTTCCTGATGTATGTTGGTGCTGGAGTATCCTGTTACAGTGCAGATATGAAGTGTCCCCAAAGGCTCATGTGCTGAGGGACTGGTTCCCAATACAGCAGTGGGGCTTTTGGGAAGTGATTGGATCATGAGGATTCTGACCTCATCCATGGATTCACCAATTGGTAGATTCAGAAGTTGACGGTATCATTGGGAGAAATTAGAAGGTGATGACTAATTGGAGGAAGTAGGTCACCAGGGTTGTAGCCTGGCAAAGTATACCTGTCCCTGGCCCCTTCCTGTCTCTCTCTGCTTCCTGGCCACCATAAGGTGAGCATCTCTGCTCCTCCACGTCCTTCTGCCATAATGCTTTGCCTTACCCAAGGCTCAGAAACAATGGTAGTCCAGCCTACCATTGATTGAAACCATGAGCCAAAATAAGTCTTTCCTCCTTTTAATTTATTGCTGCCAGGCATTTGTCATAGTGATGAAGACCTGTCTACCACATACAACCTTCCCAATCTTTTATTTCTCTTATTCCACATATTTCAAGAGAGGTGGGTGTGCTGAAGCCATAGCTCTTCTCCAAGAGAAAAAGTATTTATGTGGAACTCACAAAGTCCAGGCTCTCACGTGGTTTTACTTTAAAGCATCACTTCTCAGATGGAGGACAATTCTGCCTCCTAAGGGGGCATTTGACAAAGGCCAGAGACATTTTGGGAAGTCATAATTTGGGGAAGGTGATACTGGTGTTAGGTGGGTAGGGAGGTGGCTAAACATCCTATGATGCACAGGCCAGCCCCCCACAACAGAGTTATCAAACCCAAAGTGTCAGTAGTGCTGAGGTTGAGAAACCCTCTGCTAAAGCTAAGTGAAATGGGCAAGTTAATAACATTACAGTCTTAAAATTCTAGGGTTCCAAGTGAATGTTTTAGGACCATTGCTCCAGCAAGCAAATGCGGCAACAAGGTTCCTGTCTTGTGTACTTAACCATACTGTGAATTGTGACTCCAACCTATCAGCAGACTGACCTGTGTATCTAATCACTGAGAGATGGCATTTTGTCATTTGGAGTGGATGCTGAAATAAATGGGTTCATCACGCTCCAAAAAGCATTTGTACAACTAACATTGCTTCAGCAGAGCCATTAAGCAGATACTCACCCACTGCCCCATCATGCAGCTGGGCAGACATGCTGACTATGAGCCTTTCACACACACCAGGGACCACTTGAGGTCCCACTTCTGAGGTGTTTTCAGCACAGTCGTGCAGCAGGTACTCCTCCACATCCTGCTTGCTGCAGAAATTCGCCAGTGAATTGATGTGGGGAACAAGGCTAAGCTTGTGGGATAACGAGAAAGGAAGACTCAAGTTCAAACTCTTTTCTGTCCAAGAGACTTGTTATATTTAAAAAGAAAGATTTCTGGGAACAATGTTTAAAAGAGAATCAATTCAATTCTTTAAATTGTCTAGGGCTGAAGACTATGATTCTCAATTATTCAAGAAATCTTTAGGTATTTCACTTATTGACTCATGGCAAAGAAAATAAAATAGGTTTTATCTTTTTATTGACAATGTTATTATACTTTTTGCTTGATAATAAAATTTTCTTAGAGTTGAAAGTCTTTTATCTTGGCTACTTGTGATAAATTAAGAAATCCTGGTTAGACACAGTTTCTTGTAATGGTATAGGGGAACTCAGATTCCACCCAATTTTCTTCTAGGTTCTGGAGTTCTACATCAAACTATATTGGCTTCTTGAAGATTCACAGTATAGATTAAAATGTTAGAGGCTCTGGGAAGTCCTATAAGAAAGATAGTTTTTGAACTCAGCATTTCTTGTATATGGTAGGGAGGCATACTATTTTCCTTCATACAGACAGCTTAAGTAAAGCACTATGTCAATTTGCTAAAAAATAACAAATAAACTCAGTGTTTCCACAGTTATTTAATCACTTGGTCTTATATCCAAATAGCACTTATTAACACTCCATAAAAGCAACATTTCACGGGGCCATATAGCTGGTTAGGGATAAATGATCATTATAAGTTTATTTTCATGCAGAAATCACCTATAGTTTAACATCTATGTGAAGAAAGGCTATTCAGTTATAATTTTTGAGAAGACTTTCAATTATGACCTACTACTATTTAAAATGTGTATGAATGGCTTTGGATGATATAGTAGAGGGTGTGTCTGTAAAGTACATTGGCCATATCAAGTTGGTCATATTGAAAACCTGGGCTTAAAGAAAAGTATTGCAGGTTGAGTTAGGAGACCTGACCTCGGGGCACAGATAAATCTCCCCTGGTCTTCTCTTTGCTTTGTCCAGGACACTTTACTCCAACCCTCCCCATCCAGTGTTTTTCTAATTGCTCTCTTTGACATACCTATGGGTGGGACTCAACCCTGGGTGACTAAATCACAGTACCCTGGTTCCTCCAACCGCTAGCCTCATCATCCCTGCAGTCTGGGCTGATGTTGTGGCCTCTTCTCCATCTGACTTCACAGAGAAAAATAAACCAGCCTCTCTCTCTTCCTCTCTCTTCCGTCTAAGGTTGACCTTAACCATAGCTCCCTGCCAATGTGCTGTCTTGCCATGGCCCCAAAAGTGACAGGACCAACTGATGATATTCTGAACTGTCTCAAACTGTGAGCCCAAGTAAACTTTTCCTCTTTATGTTGATTTTATCACGTATTTTGTTATAACTGAAAACTTGCTGGGACATAGGTTCAGGTGAGGTGTGAGTCACACTGAGCTTTTCAGGCCACTATCCTGCTACAACTCCCAGGACTTTGCATGCCATACTATTGTTGTCTGCTTGTCTGCATCTCTCCTTTGGAAAATGAGTTCTGGGGGTGGGGGTGGGGGTTGGGGTGCATGTCATGTTTACACCTGTGCCTACCACCTCATCTAGTTTACAGTAATTAACAGTAAGGGTTTCATTAACTTTGTTCCATAGGAAGTATATTTGCATTTCTAGTGTTGTTTTTTTAAGTTGATACTACAGTGACTCTGCACTGTGGAGGTGAGAGAGACTCAGAAGACAGCAGGACTGGGATAGGGACAGCTGACCAGAAATTATTGACAGCTGTGATTCAGAACTGGTTTGGAGTTGACCATTACTGAAACTCAGTAGATGGAACAGATGACAAGAGTCCCTGTCAGCTACAGGATTTTGTAATGCCATGACTCACTTCTTTGAGAAACTTCTAAGGACTTTATGTTTAACCAAGTGTAGTCTGTTCCAAGTTTATAAAGAAGAGAAGTTTTATATTCTAGAATGCTAATATATTTTGGACCTAAACACAGTTTTATGAATGCAGGTATCATGTAATCTGTGTAACTGAAAACAAGTCTCACTATCTCACTGTGTTTGACAAACAAATGGCATTGAACAGTGGCTTGATTTATTCTTTTTGGTATGTATCCTGGTCTTAGATGTAAAGGCACTTCATCATGGTTGAGGAGCACGAACTCTGAAATGGCCAAGTCCCAAGTGGCCTAGCGTCTTCCCAGAGTGGCAAAATTGATAGTGAGGCATGAGCCACATTCATCTGTACTAGTGGAATGTGCAAGACTTTCTCCTACTGCATGTCCTGGGTCAGGGACTACATGGACACTGTAGCTGCCCAGCCTGGATCCTCTTTTCAGGTCGGAGCACCTGTCTTCCAGCTGCTGTGGTATTGGCTCCTAAAGGCTCTCAGTTATCTTCTCCAGAAAATAGCACTCAACCACCTTGACTAGAAATGTCAAGGGATGGGGTGGGGTGAGGGGCGGTGGAAGTGAGCCCAGAGCCAATGAGCTGGGTGCATTTATGACCACCCCTTTGCCTCCAGGTGGATTCTACTCTGGTGTAATTCATGCTCCATAGCTTCCTGTGGGACCAGACTTAAGCCACACTCCAGTGGAGACCACGACCTTGCATGGTTCCTTCCCCTTCCTCTCCTATTTCCCTCAGTCCTCTTTTCCCAGGACATATCCTCAATAAGCAGAGCACTTGACTCCCCATGTTAGTTTCTGCTCTTAGGGAATATGACCTCAAACAGGGACTTAGGGCCTCTTCTAAGATTTCTTACAGTTTGCCCAGATCAGGTTGCTCTCGTTAATTTTTATTCATGGTTCAGGCTCTTTAAAAGCTATATGTAAGATAATGATTACTTGAAAGTTGATCAAATGGATATACTTTAGTTGGGTGAGGTGTCTCACTCCTGTAAACCCAGCTATATGGGAGGTAGAGATTGGGAGGACCTAGGTCTAGGCAAGCTTAGGCAAAAAATGTTAGCAAGACACTGAATCAACAAATAGTCTGGACATGGTGGACCTGCCTGTGGTCCTAGCTATGCAGGAGGCCTTAGGTAAGAGGACCGAAAATCAGGCTGGCCCCTAGGCAAAAACAGGAGACTATTATAAAAAATAATATAGAAGGTTGGGGGCGTGGCTCAAGTGGTAGAGTTCTTGCCCAGCAAGTGCAAGATCCCTGAGTTCAAACTACAGTACTACCAGAAGAAGAATGCATTTGAAGTTTCCACTTCTCTGTACAACTTTTTAACTGTGCATTTAATTTGAAAGGAATTATAGATGATATGTGAACAAATGAGCTTGAGTGTGTTCCAATAAAACTTTGTAGGGCTGTAGTTTACCAATTAAATCAGAAAATCTCACAAATATTAAAGAATGCAATTTTAGCAAAGCAATTTTATCTTTTTTTTTTTTTTTTTTTTGCAAAGTAGTAGCAGAGTTTTATTGAGAGTGAGAGAGCGAGTGGAAGCAGGAAAGTACACTCCCCAAGAAAGGGGGAGCAGGCTCTGAGCAAGGTGGCTTACGAGCAGCATCTGTAGCTCAAGAGCCACAAAATTGCTTTAAAAAACCCCACATAATTTTATGTACTTCTGCTAATGGTGGGATAAAATTAATACTTGCATGTGTTCATATATTTCAAATATTATTGATCCAGAAAACTAATTGAGGGATATCTTCCAGAAAGAATATACATATATATGTATATATAAACATTTAAAAATATGTATCAAATATACATAATCATGAAAAATAGAAGCTATTTATATGACCATGAATGGGCAACACATAAGTAAATTCAGTAAATGTACTCAAAGCCAAAACTCTGCCCAGTGGCCATGTTGGATCGACAGGCTGTACCATTGAGAGGTTTGGAAGGAACCTCTGTTCTGTGGATGGCAGATACTGAAGGAAGAAACTCAGAATACCATGCATGATTCTCACAAGTGATAAGAAGGCTACATCAGTACCACAAGAACCTTTTTTTGGTAGAAGAACTGGGGTTTGAACTCAGGCTTCATGTTTGCTAGGCAGGTGCTCTACACGTGAGCCATGCCTCCAGTCATTCTTGTTCTGGTTGTTTTGGAGATAGGTCTTGCTTTTTGCTGAGGCTGACTGGACCACCATCCTGTTTTGTGCTGATGATAAGCATGTTGCTATCACATCCAGCTTTTCTCCATTTTGAGATGGGGCCTTGTAAACTTTTTTGCTCAGGCTGGCCTAGAACCATGATCCTCCTGTTCTCAGCCTCCTGTGTAGCTTGGGGTTGCAGATGTCTGCTACTATCCCCAGCTGTTGGTTGGGATGGGGCCTTGTGAACTATTTGGCCAGGGTAGCTCAAGTAGCTAGGATTACAGGCATGAACCACTGGCAACTGGCTCATAAAAAACTCTGAAAGATGCAATGTGAAGTATAAAAATCGGAATGTGTAGTTGTATGGATCCTCTGATTACAATGATACAAAAGCATACATGTACAAAATAGGAACTTACAAAATGATAATAATTGGAGTGGTGGGATTTCCCCCAAACTTTCAGCAATGCCAGCACACTGTAGTGGCTCAGAGATATGGAGGCAGACAGTATGGTTCCCATTCCTGACTCCTCACTCACCTTCTCCGTAAGCCTGTGCCTCAGTGCCCCCATTTGTGAACTAATGACAGCAGGTACCTTACAATGCTGCTGTGAAGAACAAGCCATTCCCGGGATATGCTGCTACACACAATTTGCAATGGCTATTAGGTGACTTGTGTAATTAAATAGATACATTTATATTTTTCAATAAATATCTCTAAAAGTGGAATTATAATGGCCCTCCATTGAGAAGGACATACCTGCAAAGCTCTGAGATACTTACAGAATCAACCAGGATGTGGGGATGCGTGTAGGGCCCACCTTCCAAAGGCTGAGAAAAGTGGAGGTCTATGGAATATTGCACATCCGGTTCTAAACAGATGGCTGTGGGAAGCGGCGCGATTCTGTATTAAGGGAAATAGAGCAAAGCGTTAGAGAGAAAAGCACAATTCCTAAGCGGCCACAGTATTTGGTGGCATCCACTTGAGTTGAAAGGAGGGCTCTGCCATGAGGCTGTGGCAAGGTCTGGGTGTACACCAGCACTTCTGAGCTGACTGGGCAAGAAGCTCCCACTTAGATCCTTGTTGCTCTTCCATGGATTATGTCAAATAGCCAAGTCTCACAAACTACTGGCTATTGTGGACATGACCGCTTTGGAGAAAGCGCGGGTCAGACTTCCTTCATCGTGTCCACTGTGCTAATATCAACAGGGTCTCGTTTCATTTTGCCACGATCTCTGATGAGACAAAATAAGTGGCTTCAAAATTAATCTCTTTCCTCCATGGACTCTCAGCTGTCGAGCACGCTACTTAATATTTCACTGTTCCAGCATTTCACATTCTCACACTTCAAAGCCATCTGGGGGACAGGAAAAATAACACGTGAGTTGAGAGCCAGGCTATCTGGGCTGGAATCCTGGTCTTGCAGTCCACTGAAGATGAGACTTGGACAAGTCCTTGAGGAATTTTTCTCAATTCTCTCCTCATCTGATGAAGACACAGTCACCTCAGTGAGTTGTCACAAAGGCTAAATGTAACATTAAATACAAAGCACGGTGCAGCACACAGTAAGTGCCTAATAAATACGATAGTCTCCTTCAGTACGGCTCTTCTCCCACTTAGTTCCTGGGTTCAAATTATTGTTTTTACAAACTTTTGACGTGTGGGGTCCCAAGCCTACCTGGCCGCTGCTGGTAAGGCAAAAGTCTGAGGCGTTTGCTGTGGAGTCTTGTGCGTGCAGTGCTTGCTCACTCCAGCGGAGTGGACCACAATCCGGACAGCCCAGTCAGCTGCAGTCTAGACAGGCAGGACACCACAGCATGTCACTAGGAGGATGCCCACACACTCCTGTACCCATTGGATACTGCAACCCATAGTTCACTTGGAAAATAGCATTTTGGAGTTGAAAGATATTTCAGTGGTTTTTTCTCAGACCCAGCTCTCTCACAGGCCTAGAAAACCCCCAGCCTTCCTCACAGGTCTAATCTTCAACCCTTATCTCCAAAACATTTGATGAATTCAGCATGGGTCTGGATCACAGAACAAAGAATAACAATCTCAATCCTTCATTAAAGGTCTCTCTCTCTCTCTTTCTCATACACACACACACACACACACACACACACACACACACACTCGACATAGGGAAGGGGTGGGGAAGAGGGATGGGAGAGAGAGAAATGAAAATTAGCTATATTCTGGAAGCCTTGCAATTTGGAAAGCTTTTAAAGCTGTCAGGGATATACTCTATGAAAAAGTAAATATATATTTTTCTTTTCTAATGGCTTTCACACTCACCAGTCAAGTTCATTGAAGTCCTTGACTTTCATTTGTGAGAAATGTCCTATTAAAGTGGGCCAGCAGTGATCATGTAATATACAGTGACCGCCTCCAGAATGTGGTCCCTGGAGGGGCTGTGGGGACTCTAATACCACTCCCCGTTCTAGCCATATAAAACATTTTTTCATGGGGGTTGATTGGTTGGTTTCAGACTACCCAAGAAAAGGCTAGGAACTACTGCTCCAGATCAAATATTTTTCTAAGTCGGTTTCTATTCTGTTTCAGACATTCCTCAAGAGGTGTGGGGGTTGGTAGTGTAGAGGGTAGTAGGGTGCTAGAGGGACCATCTGCATTTGGACTTTTTCATGCTACAGGGAAGAATCTAAATGCAAATCAATGATTCTGCTGTATCCCCTCGAGTGAATCTCTGCACATATGTTGGCTTATTAATGTTTTCAGAAAAAGAGTCTCAGGAGGTCAGAATTTGTGTTATTTTTTAGTTGTTTTTTATTCTTATACAAACATTCAGTCACCACTTCCTTAAAACTGATTCCTCAAACTTGTAACTCCAACTTTAGCTTCTCTGCATGGATAAAGTTTGTGTGCCTACAGTTCAGTGTTACGTCAATGTCATTAGGAAACCCTTTGGTTTATAATGCTTTCCAGATGTTCTACTTTTTGCAAGTCTTTTTAGGATGCACCTATTCTAGCAAGGCTGAAATGGAAAGAGTTCAAGAATATACTTCTCTCAGCTTTCTGCCATTGTGAAGTTGGAGGTAAAGGTTACCTGAGTCTCATAGCGAACAGCGATGGTGAAGTCCATGGGAAAAGCAATGTTGTTGACAGCAAATCTCAAGCCAGCCCCAGGGAGAACCCTGGCAAATCCAGGTCCAGTCCAAGTGACAGGATTCTCAGGATTGGGTCTTTGGAAAACAATGTGAACAGCAGACGCCTGGCCAAAAGTCACCAAGAGAAATGTAAATTTCTTTCCCTAAAGTCAAGCCTTGAAAGAGTTTAGGGAGAAAAAAAGGATTTTCTGGTGTGTATATAATCCATCTGAGTCATGGATAAATTATTCCAACCAGGATACAGTCCAGAATCCATCTGAGAATAACGTCTGGAGCTGCAGCTCTGAAACATGGGTTACTGTACAGAGAGATGGATTTGAAAGCAGGGTCACTGGAAGCCACTTTAATTTCAATTAACTGAGGAAATTCCTGATTGACAACCTTGGGTTTTCTTAGAAATGAGTACAGAGTTCTGGCCAAAATATGGAGGGAGAAGAATATTTCCATGTTTTGATAAGGGAGTTTGCCTAATTGTGCACAGCAATGAGAAAACCCACATGGATTTATCTTCTAGATGTTTCTTCCATACAAACATGAGAAATGCTCTTGAATCTGCAGGAGGGCATGTAAGTACAAAACTCTTCACACACTTGATTGATTAGAACCCCTGATGGTCTCTCTACTGGATGTGAGTCTGATGTCATCTGGATCCTGTAGGTAATATTCTTTAATTCCTTTTGCATACATCTCTCCACACTCATAGCCACCATGCCAATTCTGCCTTTTGTTAGTTTTTGCTTGTGTTGCTGCAATAGATTTTGGCTATCCTCTCCTTTCAGTCCTTATTCCAGCACACACTACATACTGCTGCCAATAAAGCATTTCAAACTCTTCCTAACTGCCAACAGAATAACACTCAAAGTATCTAGCCTGGAGTTCAAGTTGCTCTGTGATCTATTCCCAAACTGCCCTAAGTTCCTAGCCTTTTCTTAATAAATGCTTAATTAGTAACAAGTAAGTGCCAGCCTCTGAATGGGAAATACAAAGATGAATGGGACAGAGCCTGGCCACATGGAAAGTAGCATCTTGCAGTGGAGACAGAAACATAAGAAACTGTACTGCAGATTAGGATGTAATAGACAGAGGTATATGTAAAGTCATCCCATGCAATGTCTTTCAAACATTTAAAAAATACTCTAGCACTTACAGTAGACACAATAAGTGACCCTTCCAGATCCCTTTTGCCTGGTTGGTGTACCCAGCACTCAGTTGCAGCTAACAGTGCACAGTGACCCTTGCTCCAGAGAACTGCTTATTCACACCTCCCTCTGACCCCTCTGCCCTGGGGTGGGGTGGGGGTGCAGCCAATGATTGACAGATTACAGGTGTAAAAGGCTGGCCCTGACATCTCAAGGGGCGGGGCAACTTTGCAGGCAGTTTATGCTCCTGAACTCTTCTGAACTTTAGCTTTTTTTTTTTTTTTAAATCTAAGACCACATCTTCCTCTGTGCTTCGCTCTTCTCTTTTTCCTTTACTATCTTAAGTTTTTCTGAAGACCGCTTCTTAGTAAATCACAGGCAGCTGAATCCTGTCTTATGCCCTAGAAAAGGCACCTGACCTAGAAAAGGTACCGGACAGTTTGCTGGTCTAAGTAGACCTTATGGTGCAATTCTAGAGGGGGATAATTCACCTGTTCATCTGGAAATGAGGATTCAGTGTGTAACTTGTACTAGTTAGAAGTAGTGGTGCAATTGCTAAAACTGTCACTTGTTCAGAATTGGGACAGACAAAAGGGACAGAGGAAGCACTGGCTTATGCACTACTTCTGGGATTGAGAGATATGGGAGACCCAGGAACTACAAGGATTGTAGAAAAGGTGGCTGTTGTTGAATGCCTTTCACGAGGGGAAGTGACAGGCCCAGGACAATCAACCACCAATTTAGAGCAAAGTGTGAGAATCAGAGGGTATGTTTAAAGAGACTGTAATCTCATCTAGTGAGAGGACAGAAAGAGTTGTCACAAGACATAGTCACTCAACTTCAGAGAAGGTGAATTCCCAGCCTAGGTAAGTTACTTCTGTCAAGGTCAGGCCTCACTAGGAAGCAGTGGGATCTTGAGACATGGAATGATACATATGGGAACCTCAAAGCCTCAGGTTCTCCTTACACCCTTAGGTTGCAGACGAAACCCACTCACCCTTGTTGAAAAATAGAGCACCCCCCTACTCCATCCCCATACATTTGCAGACTATGCAGGAACACATGCTCCTCAAAAGAAAATGCATGATTTCCTCAGGATCTACCTGTGCTGCCTCTCCTGATCACATGCCAATAATTAGGGTCAGCCTAATGGAGGAGGGGAAGTGCTAGATCTTGGAGAGGGATTATAAGCAAGAGAGCTGTCGGCTGAGAGGTACCAGGAGTAATTTGGAGAGAACAGCTGAGTGTGGATCCTTTTTTTCCATTTGTTGTTGGGCTGGGTGGGGGTACATTGTGGCATTTACAAAGGTTCTTACAATGTATCAAATATATCATACTTGAATTCACCCCCCTCCACTGCTCTCTTTCATCCTTCCTCCTCCGATTCCTGGAATAGTTTCAACGGGTATCATTTTTGCATTTACATGCATGTGTTATATGTTTTTTTGCATGGTGTTCACCCTCCTACCCGCTTTCCTCACCACCTTTCCCCCACTGGTGCCAACCCCTGCAAGTGTGGATCCTGAGGAGCAGAATATGAATGAAACTGGACAAGGAAGAGTTTGTTGATTTGAAGCCTCCTGGGATCTAGGATTTTATAGCCTGGGAGGGGCCCTGGAAGATGGATCTGTTGCTAGAGCAGCTATAGGAAACTTAGTAAAAGTCATGGCTCAGACTAAGTGAAACAGAGATGCTAGAAGTGATGCAGCAGGCTATGGAGCAAAAGATACAAGTTTCAGAGAAGTAGGCATGCATCTAAGATACAAGACCAGAAAACTCACCGGTTAACTACGTTCCTGGTTGGGAGCTGGAGGACCCTCCATTTACCAAAACAGTACCAGCTGGCAGTACCAGCATCTCTGAGAAGCTGAGCATTGACTTGCCTCTGTAGCCTGGTAAGATATACTGTTACAAAACTGAGTTCCTTATTATCAGTGCAAATGACAGGATAACAAACTAGCAAAGGCTGAATAGCAGCACTTACTCTCAAAAGCAAGATGGATTTAATTCTTACCATGGGCAGCAAGGTTGGAATGGAAGACAAGAGGGCCTGACCCACAGGAATTTTCTACAGAGATGATTAATAGAACATGATGTTTCTAGGAGCAAGACAGATGAACAGTCAACAAAAATATTGTTTTATGTATATAACTAAGAGTGAGCAAGCAAGTATAAATCAGCAGAAAACCAAGGTCAGCTGCTCCAGAGGAAAGATATGATCCTTTTCCAAGTTTCTAGATCTGACTTTTCAGTTCCAGAATCCATTGATCCAGGTCCCTACAAGGAAGGACTCTTCAACACCATGGCAAGCGTGATTCTCTTACTGATTCCTCAAAGAGACCTATGGTTAAGTACTCAAGTAACTGTCCACTGGGGGAAGGAAATATATCTGCATTTTCCAGTGTTAGTGGATACAGCATCTGAGTTGAGGCCAAAAACCAGATACTCAATGTGCCATCATGGTTACAACAGGGAGATGTGAATCAGGTAATAAAAGGGGCGCTGGCCAGATCTGTTCCTTGGTGAGTTCTCTGAGTTTATAGCACCACTCATTGATCATTTCATGAATTCTAATTCCTGATTATGTAATTGGGATAGACACACTTTGCAACTCGCACTGGACTCATAAAATAAGAGCTCTTGTGGTAGGAATAGCCAAGTAAAAGCCTGCGAAAGTTTTTCCCCCGCTAGACAAGATAGTAAATAAAAAACATTATTGCAAATCAGGAGTAGCCCTCAAAGTGCCATTCTTAAAGACTTAAGGATGAAGTGGTGGTAGTTCCCATCATATCACCAACTTGCAAAAACTGAATGGATAACTGCCAGATGGAAGTGAGCGGCTACAAGTTTAACCAAGTTGTAGCCCACTTTCAGCTCTAGTGCTGGATGAAGTGTCTTTATTGGAGCAGATTAATACATCCTCTGGTACTTGCTATCCAGCCATTGATAGACAAAATGTGTTTTCCATATTCATAGGAAGAGGGGAAAACAGCAGCTTGCATTCACTCAGGATAGGCAATAGTGTGTGTTCACAGTCTGGCTACAGGACTGTTAATTCTGCTTTCTGTCATGATATAATCCCAAAGGGGTCTGGATCACCCAGATATTCTACAAAGTGTCACACTGATCCCTTTTAGTGAGGGATCCCTTATAGTGATGTTATGGTCTCCCACAGTGAGAATTAGCCACTATGAGACCAGGGCCAGCACCACTGTCTGAGGGCTCAGAGGGTCTGATTTATCAAGATGGGAAAATACAACATCCCTTCAATCTAAGAAGCTCACTTTCCAGCAAAAGAAGCACCATGGGAATCACATGAATTTGGTATCTACTATTCTTACAAAAACCCTACCACCTAGGAGATACTAACCTGGGATGGTAGTAGAAGGGAGTCCCTTAAAGATGCAGCTGAGGTTTCAGCTTCACCAGCTTAGAAATGAAACCCTATGAGATGGGGTGGAATTCTTCCCGATGTTACATATTCCTTAAACCAATGGCCTTTATGTGATTCTGTGTTCCAACAGGTAGAATACACGAGCCTGGGAACTAAATAGGATTCGCCCTACTCATTAGCACCATTTCCAGTGACCATGGGAATTGGGCCTTCCTGTCCTGGCAACTCTAGGCTCTGTAGTCTTGGAGGTCTTAATTCTTGGGCAAGGACAAAGAGTTCCAAGAACCCTAAAGTCATAGGTTGCTGCATGACCACTTGGGTTTCCCATGTTAGTAGACTGGCAGCCACAGGAGAGAGTTACTATACCTCGTGGGGTTGTTGCTATAGAATGGGGCCATAAGGAATATGTATGGCTTTGAGGTAATCCAATGGGACACCTCTGGTGCTCCTATATATATGATTTGATCTGGGGCTCAGAACTTTGAGTGATAAAGACATAAATCATCTCACTGCTAGAAATACCATTTGAAGGCAAGGGGAATCTAGAATGGGTAGAGAAAAGAAAGGAAAATAGTGAGTATAGATGACAGCTTGGGGACCATCTGCAGCA